TGCCTGGCTCCTTAAAGGATCCCCCATGGCTAGTCAACTGACTGCCATTGGAACTGCTTAACCCTGTGACCTTTAGTGTTGGTTTCCTCTTGGTCTTCTGAGAATAGGAGAGGATATAAAAAGCCAGCGAAGACTGGCAGAAAGAGGAGTAGGGTCCAGGACACTGTAATAGGATTGGAAAGAAAGAAGAAAAGTAGGGTGAGAGAGTAGGGTCACAGAAGACAGTTTATTCAGGAAGAAAGACTGAGTAGGCTAGAGAGGAGATTGACCAGAGGATATTGTTAGTAGACAGGAGAAGACCACTGAAGGCACAGGCCTATGGATAAATGCATAAAGAGTATGAATATTGGTTTTCACATGCACCATCCCAATAGAATAGGTCAAGCTATAGCTAGAGGTCTCTGATGCTTTAATTTAAAAGGCTCAGTGCTTTAATTATGGAAATTTGAAACAAAGTTCTGAACAAAGCATCTCTAAAGGCAATGGTTTTTCTAACTATGAGAAAGGCCTAGATTTCCAGGCATGTGCAGGTGACAGGACAAGAGCTGCCCCTGGACAAATGAGTATAGGACCAAAAGAGATATCCAAGGAGAATTTCTGCCATTGAAATGGCAGGGCCTAGGTCAAGGCCCTGAAGCAAAGAGTATGAACTGCTTGCCTCTTATCAGCCAAAGAATAACAAGCAGGCAGAAAAACCTCAACTAAGTATTGTAAATCTAATCCATGCTACTGCAGACAGTGATAAACATCTACACTATCTCCCAAAATTCAATGTTATAGAGTATCTACTGGAGTTTATGGCAGTTGCCCTCATGGACAGTAGGAATGGTCTTCAGAAGCAGCTGACTTCCCAAGGAGTCACTGTGTATTTCAAAGGATAAATTAAAATAGTGGCTTATGTAAAAAGAAAAATGCAATTTAACACAGGTGATAGGATTGCTCACCTGTTAATGTTTCCTTATATCAAAGGCAAAGACAATTCAGTACAAAGATCTGGGACCCCTGCTTCGAAAAAACAAACAAACAAACAAACAAAAACAAAAAAGAAAAATGATCTGGGAGCATTTGCTGGAAAATGTGTTCTGGCAAACAGTTAAAGTTGCGAGTGAATGACACTGAAAGAGATTTGTGTGGATACAGGATCTGATGCAACATTTATTAAATACTATTATTTTTCTGGGGGATTACACCCCCTTTTACTCCTTAGTATCTTTTGGTAGTTTCTACCTGACTTCTTGCCCGTACATTCTCGAGTAAACAACACAAAAACATAATTTATTAGTAAGCTGTAGGCATTATGCTGGGCACATTGAGCTATTCTAATCTTTCTACCTGTTAAAACCCACACAGATGGCAGTCACTTGCCAATCTGACGTCTCCCAGGCGGCTTCTGCTTCATCAGCCTGTCCTCAGGACGCACTTCTCTTGGCCACAGGCTTCAGATGGTCCATCTCATGCAACGGTAACTCTTACCTCTGGCTTCTCTCCTCCAGATGGTCTCTCTCAAGAGCCCATGCTCGGTTCTCCACCCTGCCTTCCTTTCTGCCCAGTTACCGTCCCAGCCATTTACTGACCAATCGGGGGTTATGGGGGAGCATTATTTACAGTACATAGGTTAATACAGTGCCCCAATGATCTGGTTACAGTCTGGATAGGGGCTCAGAATTCAGCTTCTAAATACAGAGTGCACAAAACCCCAACAATCATTTCACAAAAAATCCTGGCACTCAGAATGGCCACTTCAAAAGGTTTACATCCAGTTTCTAGGAATTGGAAAGCTATCTCAGACAAAACATTGGGTGATGGGTTAAATGTGTAAGGTCAGAAAATCAAATAGGAAAGTTAGGGCCTTATGTGACTAACATAACCATAAATTTATGGGGATGAGATTTATTACAGCAGTGAGAAACAGAACTCAGATTAATACCCCCTCAATACCAGAGACAATTCCTAAAATAATGGATCTAACGGAAGATGCTTCTGGGGAAGATGTTGAAAAATGTTATCCAGAACCACAGACTATGCAGGTATCCAAAACTAGACACTACATGGATTGAGTTTCCAAATTTTTAAGGTTTGTTTTTTGGGGGAGTGGGGTGGCAAGGAGGCACTGCTGATACTATACCAACATCCCTACTCTTAAAATGGCTAAGCCTTGGGGGAGGAACTGCAACAGGCAAGTGAGCTTCCTGGAGAGGACCAGCCCCTTGCTGCTGCTGTGCCTCGTGTTTGTCATTGCTGTAGTCCTCATGTATCTAGCATGGTGTGAATGGGTGTGGGGACCCTCCCTGCCTATGGTCTGGTGTGATTGCTCTCTCCAGCCAATGTGTGTATGTGTATGTATGTATATAAAGTAGTTGGAGCTTGAAGTTTGCTTCATCCAGCAAGTGTGTGTGTGTGTGTGTTCCTCCTGTCACTCTTTTCACAAGCCCTAGAGAATCAAGCTTTGCTCCCTTAGAGAAAAGTCTGCTGAGTGGTCAACACTAACTCTACACCTCACCTCAGCTGACCCTGGATCTCAAAGCTGGCCTTTGGCAGCCCTTAACTAAGGAAGTTACAGGCTTGCCAGGTCCTTGCCAGCACAGGAAAGTGAAGAATTGACCAATTATTAATAGGAAATGTGTTAGAAGCCTCAAATTCTCATGAAAAACACCATGTTAACAAACAGTAAAGGTTTAAAGAAAACATTTTCTAGCACCTGGCAGCATGCCAAGGAAATAATAAGAAAATGTCCTTCTTGTTCTTTGTATAACCTAACTCCATTACTTGTTGGAAGTAGCCCTAGGGATACCAAAAGAAATAAAATCTGGCAGATAGTTTCGTTTTGCAGAACTTAGAAAACTAAAGTTTGTATATCACACCACATATATAACTCAGGGTTTCAATGGACAACTGCTTTGAATTCTGAAAGAGCTAACTCTGCAATGGACTGGGAGTCATGGCTACTGTGGTACACCTGCACAAATTAAGGCTGGCAATGTCTCCAGGAAAATAAAGCAATTCTCTACATATTATAATATAAAGTATACTACAGGTCTACCACAAAATTCTACAGAACAAGCAGTTGTAGGTAGATCTAATTATACCTTTAAAAAAATGCTTATAAAACAAAGAGGAAGAATAAAGACCCAGGGAAAGATTAAGCAGTGTTCTGTTAAATTTAAATTTTCTGAAAATTAGTAAGAAAGGAACAATAGCAGCTGAGAGACACTGGGTTATAGAAAAAACCTGTGGAATTAAATCAGCCTATATACTATAAGGACATATTAACATCAGAATGGAAGTCAGTGAAGGTGACATTGCACTGGGGACACAAATTTGTTTATATTTTCACAGGAAATGAAAAGGTGTGAATTGATCAGAAGAGGTTTCTGAAAACCTTGGCCACTGATCCTAAGAAGAGGAGGAGAGTCTGACCAGCCGGAGAAGCCTGGACAAGGAACATTCAGCACCTAACCACTGACAGGCCTACAGAACTTTGGTCTCCTGCAATACAGAGCCATCCACAGTGCAGAGCAACAACAGGACTGTGACTTAAGACACATCCTCCATGCCCAAGTCAGCGCTGCAAGCCAAAGGTTCATAGAACTGGGGGCAGAGGTTTAAAGACTTCAGTAAGCAACTCCAGAACACAAGATGCTAGAAGATAAGACAGTCCAGGAGTATAAAAGGTTCAAGAAGTGGTATCCATGTTAAAGGAAAGAGAAGCATTACTGTTAGGTTTTTATCTCAGTTGTGCATATGCTCCTGAGGGATCAACAGGAAGATCACACCAGACACCTGAGAACCCTGGAAAAGACACTGGAGAGAATGGAGACGCAGCTTCAGAACTGCATTATCAGTAGCGAAAACAAATGGGGGAAATATATGATTTATTTTGTGTGCCTGGCCCTTTAAAGGATCCCCAACTAGTCAACTGACACTTTAGAAATGCTTACCCCTTAAGACTGCTTTGTCCCTATGACCCTTAGTGCTGGTTTCCTCTTGGTCTTCTGGGAACAGGAGAGGATATAAAAAGCCAGCAAAGGTTGGTAGAAGAGGAGTAGGGTCCAGTAGACAGAGGAGTAGGATTGGGGAGAGGAGTAGGATGAGAGAGTAGGGTCAGAGAAGGCAGGTGATGCAGAAGAGAGAAGACCGAGTGGGGCTAGAGAGAGTGGGACAGAGAAGCTGATCCTAGTCAGACTGAGTGGGGCTAGAGAGAGTGGGACAGAGAAGCTGATCCTAGTCAGACTGAGTGGGGCTAGAGAGAGTGGGCCAGAGAAGCTGATCCTAGCCAGAGAATATTGTTAGGAGAAAGGAGAACCACGAAGATCCCACACAAAGTAGGAAAAAGAAGTAAAAGCTACATTAGACCACTAAAGACATGGGCATGAGTATGTGGATGAAAAAGGAGACGGACCTAATGGGTACCATATGTTGATAGATCAAGTCATAGCTAGAGGTGTCCAATATCAAAATGCCGTGAGCTTCAATTGTGGGAAATGTGGTCATTTGCAAAGAGACTGTGACCAAACCAAAAGCCTCAGATCTCAAAATGGCCAGTGCATTAACTTTGAGAAATACAGTACTTTGCACTGGAAAAATGAACGAGCAGTTTCTAGGGGCAATGGTTTTCTTAAATCTCAAGCAGAAAGAAGCCCTAGGCTTCCCAGGGTGTATAAGCCAAGTGGCAAAGGCTGCCACTGGATTCAGAAATGCAGATCCAAAAGAGGTATTCAAGGCAATTTCTTACAGTTGGGCAACAGCCTTAGGGGTCTGGCTTAAGGCTCTGCAGTAAAAATCACAAGCATTTCAGTCAAGTAGCAACGTGCAGAGCAAACTCTCCACTGGGCATTAGATATTCAACGAGCAACACTGTAGGCAGCTGCTCTAGAACAGCCACAGGCAAACCTCTTTCCCCAAAACTCAAGGTTACACAGCAACTACTGGAGTTTATGGTCCTCTGCCATCAGGGAGAGGATCTTGGGAAGGAGCAGTTTAACCTCCCAAAGATCCATTGTGCATCCAGGAATTATAGATCAGATTTCAAAGGAGAAGTTAAAATCACGGCCTATGTAAAAAAGAGATGCAGTTTAACACAGGTGGCAGGACTGCTCAGCGTTAGCTTCCCTACATCAAAGGCAAAATCACTCCAGTAGAATGAACAGGAGGGTTTGGAAGTACTGAAAAATATGTGTTCTGGCAAACAGTTATTAATCATCAGAGGATAAAATTAAAATTGCAAGTAAATGATACTGAAATAGAAGTTTTGGTGGATACAGGAGCTGATGTAACTATCATTTCACAAAAATATTGGCACTCAAAATGGCCACTTCAAAAGGCTTCAACCCAGTTTCTAGGAATTGGAAAGTTATCTCACGAAAGTTAGTTTCTATGACTGTGTGATGTTTGGAATTCTGGAAACTTTTCAGAAGGTATATAAACACCGGGGCACCAAGAGGTGGGGTAGGTGGTTGCTGGTCATTAAAGGAGGATGGAGGACAGTTGTGGTCTGTTAGTAGCCACAGTCTACTAAAAAAAGAAAGAAATTAAATTCAGCGACACTCCCCCCCATGCTTCTTTCTCTCTTATCCAGTGTTAGGAGGAGACTCAGAGGAGAGGATAAAGGGTGGGAAACAGAAGAACCCACAAAGTAGCAAAGGCCAGCTATAGCATATGTCACCATGCCTGGCTTCATAAGCTTTACCTGCCTCTGAAGGCTCAGGAGTACTTCTGTAGAAAGAACAGCAGCATTTCTGTTTTGCTTTGTGAGACGGGGGTTTCTCTGTGTATCCCTAGCTGTCCTGGAATTCATTCTATAGACCAAACTGGTCTTGAACTCAGAGATCCACCTCCCTCTACCTTCCAAGTATTGGGACTAAAGGTGTGCACCACCACACCCGACTCTGTTCTTGTTCTTTTAAGTTGGAGTCTCTGCTACCTAAGCTGTTCCTGAGTTCCTAGGCACAAACAGTTCTACCTTTTAAAAGTAACTGAAGCTCCAGGGGCTTATGGCTTCTCAATACCAGGCACATGTGTGTGCATGTACATCTCTCATTGTTTAGATGCGAGAGATCAATCTCAGGGCCTTGTGCAGGCAATCACTGGCCACTGTACTACATCCCAAGCTAACAAAACAATCAGGTTCTACCCATTGGGTATGGTGGCAAAGGCCTGTAATCCTAGAATTTGTGAGGCAGAGGCAGGAAGACTGATGAAAGTCTGAGGACAGCCTGTTTTACATAAGCAAGTTCCACACCAGCAAGGGGAATATATATAGAGATGCTGTTTCAATAATAATATAAAATAAATTATTAAGTAACTCTGCTGTAGAACAAAGGGACTCTGGAACACTGTTAAGCCAGACTCAAGAAGCATTAAATGGACGGAGTGGGAAGGAGCCGGCGAGGACACTGTAAGACTATAGACAGCCCTGTCATAAAGCACCCACAGAAGAGTAGTGGGAGGAAGGCTGTAAACGGGACAGGAGGACAAGTCTTGGCTTATGACTGTGAGCACAGAGCATCTGAAAAAGAGACAACTGTCTCAGGTTTCTTGGGAGAGGCGCTCCTCCAACCTGATGAAGCAGGAGCAGAGACAGAGGCAGCCAATTGTTGAAAGCTCTGTGCTCATATAGACTCAAGAGAACAAAAGCTTCTTAGGTTTGTAAACTTGCACTCGTAAATACAGTCATCAAAACAGAATTCAGTGCATTCTTCAGTCCCCGTGGAATCAGCGCTATTAAACAGGAATGTACCACATCCATTCTCCACGCACTGCGAAGGGGTTCTGAGCCGAGCACGTGCCGTGGCAGCCGCGCACTCAGGAGCGGAGGAGGAGCTTACTGAGTATTGCATCGTAGTAAGGACAGAATACCATCTTGTTATAGTTGACCAGGCGCACAAACTTCACAGCAACTTCTTCCAGCTCTTTCTGAATGGGTCCCAGTCCGCCAGGCACTGTAGGCAAGAGCTTCTGATGACCAGAGGCAAGGTATGTCTCCAAGAAGGTCAAAATTCGGGACTCTGTGGCAAAAGGGAATAATCAGGGTTGTCTCTTCAGAGTGACTTTATACATGTCTGATTAGGTTTTGGTTAAGTGAGTCATCACTTTCTCAGGGAAGTCTTTCCTGGTCACTCCCAGATCAGATCCATAGAGCTTTGCACTTCTTTGGGGAACACATATGCACACAAGGAGTCTGCAGCAGCAGCATGCTCTGCTCTGAAGAGCATCAGGCCACTGAGGCCAACACTGGCCACTGCCACAGGGCACACACGGACAAAGAAAGCAAAGCAAGAACAAGCTCAAAATTGGGGGTGGAACTGGAGACATGGTTCAGCCTTAAGAACACTGGAATCCCTGTACACACACACACACACACACACACACAAATACATGCCTTTTATCCCAGCAGAGATAGACACATCTCCATGAGTTCAAGACCAGCCAGACCTACATAGAGACCTTGTCTCAATAAATACACAAAGTCTTAGAAATTATGTTCAAAAAAGTAAAAAGGGTGGAATATGTAGCTCTGTGGTGGAGTGCATGACTCTGGATTCAATTTCAGAACTTAAAATATTAGAAGGAAGGAGAAGGAAAAGAAAGGAGGGATGAAGGAAGATGAATCTTGTCCTGCTAACTTCTACTGTCTGTCATGACTGAACACAGGCTTCCTTTGATGCTCACAATGGGAGACCACAGGAGGCATCTGTGGTCTTGTTCTACTTGGTTGATACCTTTCAGTCCACTCCATTTGGGAAGCATTTATATTGATTAAATGAACTTTTCAAATTGCCTGCCTCACCTCTTGTACTGGGGTACCCTCTCAAGTACAAACATAAGAACCCATAACACACACACACACGCACTGACAGCTGAGTCCTACACTTCTCCATTCTTCAGGGATCTGGTTCTCCTGAAGTTCCTAGAGCTGGAAGCTCCCCAGAACCAGAGGTCTGTGTCATTCCCACCCAGAACTGCTGTCTGTAACTATGACAAAGCCAGGCGGTGGTGCCACACTCACTCAGGAGGCAGAGGCAGGCAGATCTGTGAGTTCCAGGCCAGCCTGGTCTACAGAATTCCAGGACAGCCAGGGCTACACAGGGAAACCCTGTCTCAAAACCAAACAAGATGACGACAAGACAATCGGCAGCATGGAGGCCTTCCTTGGGGGATATAAATCTCTGATTCAAAGAAGCCTCCTTCTCAGTGACCCACAGTTAAGCTGTGGCTAGCTAGTGCAGGGCTGGGATAAGCCAAGCTTAAAAAAAAAAACTGTCTTAATTTTTAAAAATCGAGAGTATTCATTTTGTATAAATTACTTAGTAACAGGATCTGAGTCAAGGTCTGTGACACTGGAGTCAGGATTTCTGAGATACTGAAGATCAGCTCCACCGCACTGGCGGGGCTCGAACCCTCTCCTAACACAGCAGCACTCAAAAGCTGCTCACACTCCATCAAACCCTCTCAGAGTGTACTGCTGCTGCTGTCATTGCCTGGTTTAAGACAGGGTCTCACTGTGGGTCTCTGGCTGGCCTGGAACTCACAGAGCTCCTCTCGCCTCTGTCTCCTGACTGCTGGTTAAAGGATGGCACTACATGCCCAGCTCCGTTTTCTTTTGAGGGCCTGTCCTCCAGCCCTCTGTCCTGGTTACTGCATTTTTATTGTTATTTACACAAGCTAAAGCCATCTTGGAAAAGGAACCTCAATTGAGAAACTGCCTCCATCAGATGGAGACAGGTCTGTGAGACATTGCCTTTTCTTTTTCTTTTCCAAGAGAGGGTTTCTCTGTATAACCTTGGCTGTCATGGGCCTCCCTGTACCAAGAGAATCAAATTCAGAGATTGCCTGCCTCTGCTTCCCAGGTGCTGGGATTAAAGGTGTGTTTACCACACCTGGCTACTTTCTTAAAAAAGTATTGATATGGGAACCCCAGCTACCTTGAGTGGTGCCACCCTGGAAGGTGATCTTATATAAGAAAGCAGGCTCCAGTTCTTGCCTCGAATTCCTCAGTGACAGAGGATGACCTGACAATTCTAAGATAAAACAAACCCCCTTCCTCCTCAATTTGCTTTTGGTCATTGTATTTCACCACAGCAACAGGAAGTAAATAAGATACCCTCTGAGAGAATGTTCCCTAAACGTACCCATGATCCTGCGAATGGGGTCGTCAGGACTGGCGAGGGCCTGAATCTGGCCCTTGAGCACAGTCTCCTTATGGATGGAGAATGGGGAGGATCCACACAGGGAGAGGCAGCTGCTCACCTCCAGGCACACTTTCTCCCCAATGGAAGTCAAGGCGTCCTCCAGATGGAAGGATCTAGAACAGAGAGGAGAAGAGGGAGCAAGGAGACCAAAGGATGTAAGCCCTGGCCCTGTCTTGACAAGGATGACAGCACCAAGTGTGTGGGACCTGTGGCTCCCTCACCGCCTAGGCTCTCATACCTTCCTAATTTCTATTCCTTTCTAATCGTACCAAAGTGGTTGTCTGTCTGTTGTGGACAGGGTCTCATAGAGCCCAGGCTGGTCAAGAACTTATACTCTACAGCTGAAGAAAACCTTGAACTTCTGTTGTTCCTGCCTCTACTTCCCAAGATTAGAGCTGTGAGCTACCATGTCAGTTTTTACAGTGCTGGGGACGAGGGCTCCGAGCATGTTAGGCACATACATGGTAGTCATGCACTCTGCCAACAAAGCTACAGCCCCAAGCCTCGAAGCACAAAGCTGATGCCTATACAATGAATAAGCTTACAACCAACTTCTAACGATCATCCAGCACCTCCAACACCTCCAGAGGATACACACAAACCCGAGATTTGGAAGCTGTGGGACAGGACGGGGAAACCTATTCATTGAACATCCTTTTGTATCTTCATTTTCTTTCTTTTACCATGCTGGAGATTAAGCCCCAAACCTCATCCATGGTGAGCACTTTGCCAGCTGAGGCATATCCTCAGCCCTCTGCAGCTGCTTTGTTTTGTTTTGAGACAGAAGATAGCCAAGGCTAGCTGTGAATTTCTGGTCCTCCTGTTTTTACCTTTCAGGTACTGGGATCACAACTTACACTAGCTATTTTTAGAAGGAAAAAATCCAAAGAAGAAAACAAATATCCTTGATTCCTTGGGAGCACCTGTGGGAGCACCTGCGGACAGCCTCCTGTGGTGGGGCTGCTGTGAGAATGTTTTCTTCTTGACTCTTTTACTCACAGCTACTATTTAATGACTATATACTACATGTAATGGCAAAGTAACAGTCTTCCAGGTGTAGACCTCTGAACTATAGCACTTGTGGAAACAAAAGGAGCAAGTCCCAGGCCTCACTGCGGGTACCACACTGCTGTGCCCCAGAGCAGCCAGGGCTCCCTAGAAGTGGGCATTGAAATAGAGGGTACAGTTCCACCTGAGCAACAGCATTGGGGTAGGCCTCAGACCGGCAGTGTCCTCAGCCTGCTTGTCACAACATGGGAAAACGCTCCACATGGCACTGACCACACACACACTGGACAAGCTTAGCAGTATAAGCTCTTCCTGCTGTAAGGATGATGTGGTGGTCTGAATAAGAATGGCCCCCACAAGGGGCTGGAGAGATGGCTCAGTGGTTAAGAGCACTGATTGTTCTTCCAGAGGTCCTGAATTCAATTCCTAGCAACCACATGGTGGCTCACAACCATCTGTAATAAGATCCAATGTCTTCTTCTGGGGTGTATCTGAAGACAGCTACAGTGTATTCATATACAATAAATAAATCTTTAAAAAAAAAATGGCCCCTGCAGACTCATAGTGCTTTAGGGGGTGGCATTAGGTGGCACATGCCTTTAATCCCAGCACTTGGGAGGCGGATTTCTGAGTTCGAGGCCAGCCTGGTCTACAGAGTGAGTTCCAGGACAGCCAGGGCTACACAGAGAAACCCTGCCTCGAAAAACCAAAAAAAAAAAAAAAAAAAAAAAGAGGAGGTATAGCCTTGTTGCTGTGCTTTGGGGTTGCAAACGCCCAAGTCAAGGCCAGTGGCTCTCTCTCTTCCTGCTTCTCAGACAGAGAACTCTTGGTTTCTCCCCAGCACCATGTCTGCTTGTGTGTTACCATGCTTTCTGCCTTGGCAATAATGGCCTAAATCTCTGAACTGTAAACTAGCCCCAGTTAAATGAGCTCCTTTATAAGAGTTTCTGTGATCACCAGGCAGTGCCATGGCGGCACAAGCCTTTAATCACTCAGGAGTCAGTTCAAGGCCAGCCTGGTCTACAGAGTGAGTTCTAGGACTGCCAGGACTACACAGAGAAACCCTGCCTCAAAAAAAAAAAAAAAAAAAAAAAAAAAAAAAAAAAAAAAGGTGCTCTAGCCATGCTGTCTCTTCCCAGCAACAGAAACTCTAAGACAGATGTTAGAGTCTCTGCACTGGGCCATGTCAGACACAGGGCTTACTCAACTATTCAAACCCACCGTACTTGTTGTGAAGAATGGGAGTCACGTACTGGTTTTGTTGAGGGAGCACCTGCTAGAGATTTCACAATATTAAGTTTGATACATGAGAAAAATGGCAGATACAACATGTCTATAAGGTATGTGCAAGGGGCAGGAAGTTAATGTTATGGGCGTGCCCTGAGGGGTAGGGTTTGTTTCTTCTCTGATCTTTATCTTCCAAGAGCCCCTGGGAACTGGAAGCAACTGGCTGTCCTGGGCCCAGGGTCTACGTTCCACTGGTTTCTCTAAGAACATGGTTTTTACTGCAGTTGGTAGGGAGAGCAAGTCAGTGTGGTGATTTGTTAGTAAGATTAAGTTAGAAAACAGGTTAAACATAGGTAAACTTAGGTTCTATTTGTGTTAGAATGTTCTGGTCACAGCCAGTTTGCTCACTGTGGGCTCTGAGCACAGACATTTGAAAACCACAATCCTGGAGCCTTGTTAAGTCTATAGTTACCTGTAACTCGGACTTGACAGGCATAAATAAACTTCAGGTTGGCAAAGTCTTCTCTAATCTCCTAGTGGCCTTACACTGGGAAACTCCCACTGTCCACTACAAGTCCATCCACTGTAGGGCCCCAGCCACTTACGGCAGATGCATGTCTGTTAGCAGAATCTTCACCATCATCTTGAGCTTCTCAGCAAAGTCGGCATGCCCAGAAATTCCAGGTGCAGCGGTACTGAATGTGACCAGCAGCACAGCCCCCAGGATGGCTAGCTGCTCCAACTGCAGCTGGAGCTCTTGGAAACGAGACTGGTCCATCAAAACTGTCTGCAATAAACACACATGGCACTGCTGAGCAGAAATTCAAGCTGGCCAGCAGAGGACAGTAGAGCCACACCTCCACCTGCTTTGAGGCGCCCTTTGAGATTTGCTGGATTCCTTTCAGAGCTGGAACAGCACCACGCATTAGCTGAGACAGGTATGGCAATAAACCCAAGATTTCACAGGACCATGACCTCAGGCAAGTGCCTTTACTCTCTGACACTATACAAAAAGGGAGTTCTCTTTGAACAGCCTCTTGAAGGATGAAGAAACCCGACCAGCAGAGGAATAACTGAATGCCACTACTCCATCAGTGAGAGGCACAGAAGCAGGAAGGAAGGGTAAGAAGATGGAGCTAGGGTGGCCGATGACTTCCTATGTGTCCAGAACTGACTGTCCCAGATTTGAAAGGGAAACATCCAAGACCTGAGACCTCATCTTTAACCCCCACAAACCAGGAAGTCACCTATGCTGATAGATGGGAAAATCGTGAAGCAGAGCCAACAATTATTCATCCTCATACACATAGCATGAAGAAGCGCCAAGAACTGGGCCTGCCTACCAGAGACTGCAGAGGAGATGAGGGAAGAGCAACAAGGTCAAAAAGATGATTCAGTTCAGAGGTTTTTGTATTCTTTTGGTGGTAGGTAGGCTTGGGGACAGGATCTCACCATATAGCTGTGGCTGTCCTAGAACTCACTCTGTAGACTAGGCTGGCCTCAAACTCACAGAGATCTACCTACCTCTGCCTTCAGAGCACTGGGGTTAAAAGTGTGCACCACCATGCCTGGCCCAGATCTGAGTTTTCACAGGTTCATCAAACAAGCTTTAAGAAGCTCTTTGGTGGGGACTGGAGAGATGCCTCAGCAGTTAAAAGTACTGACTATTCTTCCAGAGGTCCTGAGTTCAATTCCCAGCAACCACCACATGATGGCTCACAACCATCTATAATGGGATCTGATGCCCTCTTCTGGTGTGTCTGAAGAGAGTGACTGTGTACTCACATAAAATAAGGAGAGAGAGAGAGAGAGAGAGAGAGAGAGAGAGAGAGAGAGAGAGAGAGGAACCTGCTGTAAAAAGCTAGATGTGGTCTATGTTTGTAACCCTGAAACATTGAGGCAGGAGGATCAACCAGAGTTTGAGATTGGGCTACAGTGTTGAAAACAATAACCAGAAAATGGGAGTCAAAGCCCAGACTTCTCAGAAGACTGAGGTCCTTCTTCATTAACAGCTTCCATTTTATCTCACTGCTCATGTGGGCACAATGTCACTTGTCACTTAACGTTAACAGGACTTGACTTCAGGATGCAGAAGATCTCTGCAGCTGATTGCCAGTAACAGATGTGCAGTCCCAGTAAAAAAATGCCATCTTCCCAATTGTAAGAAATGTCAGGTCGAGAACTTCCCTCCAGAAGCTCTTATGGCACTACCCAGAGTCACGCTTTCCAACAAGCCAATACCACCTTTAGGTCCCCTTTAGTACCAACAGGGAACTCAGGCAAGAAGGGAAGCTTACAGCTCTTAAAATGAAACATGGGGACCATGACAAAGACATTTACAGAAGCTGTAGGTCTAAAGCTGGAAAAAGGAACAAGTGCCCTCAGAGATGACAGAGGAAGCCACACACTAGACCGGTTTCTGCCAGACAAGTGGGGAACCCCTCATTAGTCACCTTCTTGAATGGTTCTTGCAGCTAGACCTGCTTATTATAATGCTCTCTGTGGGAGTGGCAGGAGTTTTTGGAGAACAAGCTGTGAAGCAAAAAATCAGTTTTTTTGGTTTTGGTTTTATGGTTTTTCAAGACAGGGTTTCTCCATGTAGCCCTAGCTGTCCTGGAATTTGTTCTGTAGACCAGGCTGGACTTGAACTCAGAGATTAAAGGTATGTAACACCTTTTTTTTTTTTAAATCATGACAAATTGAATAAAAACAGTATAAAAAGTTCAGTAGTACAGACAGGAGGCACTTCACACTGCTGGTGGGGCTGTGAGAACAGGGGAGCAGTTTCTCAAAGTGGTGTGCCTGGGGTCTACCCAGAAACTGCAACCCATGATACAAGCTATAGAGTTGATGCTACATGTCCACACAGTACGCGGCCAGTCACAGCTGGGAAGGGAATGAGCTGTGTCCACACAGTGGGAGGCTGACACGATGAGCCTAGAAGACATCGTAAGTAGGCCAGGCACAAAAGGATAAACGTGGCATGATTCCATGGACACAAAGCACCTGGACAGGCTGGGCCTGTCATCATAGCATTTGGAAGGCTAAGACTGGAAGTTCAAGGCCAATCTGGGCTACAGAAGACCCTGTCAGAAAAAAGTCAAAACAAACAGAAAGATAAAAATTAAACTCCCAGAGTTATTAAATCTGTACACTTGCAGTAAAATGGTAGTTGTCAAGAGCCATGAGGGATAGGAAATTATTGTCTTAGTCAGGGTTCCTATTCCTGCACAAACATCATGACCAAGAAGCAAGTTGGGGAGGAAAGGGTTTATTCAGCTTACACTTCCACATTGCTGTTCATCACCAAAGGAAGTCAGGACTGGAACTCAAGCAGGTCAGGAAGCAGGAGCTGATGCAGAGGCCATGGAGGGATGTTACTTACTGGCTTGATTCCCCTGGCTTGCTCAGCTTGCTTTCTTATAGAACCCAAGACTACCAGCCCCAGGATGGCACCACCCACAATGGGACCTCCCCCCTTGATCACCAATTGAGAAAATGTTTTACAGCTGGATCTCATGGACGCATTTCCTCAACTGAGGCTCCTTTCTCTGTGATAACTCCAGCTTGTGTCAAGTTAACACATAAAAGCAGCCAGTACAGTCGCTGTTCTATTGCTGTGAAGACACCCCACAACCAAGGCAATTCTTACAAAAGAAAGCATTTAACTGGGGACTTGCTTATACTTTTGGAGAGTTAGTCTGTATCATTATGGCAAGGAGCAGACAGCAATGGTGCTGGAGAAGTAACTTAAGAAAATGGCTTGGCAGCCGGGCAGTGTGCGGTGGTGGTGCACGCCTTTAGTCCCAACACTTGGGAGGCAGAGGCAGGTGAATTTCTGAGTTTGAGGCCAGCCGGGTCTACAGAGTGAGTTCCAGGACAGCCAGGACTACACAAAGAAACCCTGACAAAAAACAAACAAACAGACAAACAAACAAAAAAGACTAGCCAGGAATACATAGCAAGCTCCAGGACAGCCAAGGGTACATGGAAAGCCCCTGTCTCAAAAACACAAAGGGAGGAGAACGAGAGAGAATGAGGGCAGGGGAAAGAAAGATCACATTTCATATTTTCTCATATGTAGAATGTACACATACACAGAGAAAGAGAGGGAGAGAGACAGAGAAGAAAACGAAGGCTCATAAACAAATGTAAAGCCAATCAGAAGAGAGAAAGAGAAGGAACAGTAATACGGGTGAGGATGAGCAAAGGACAACATAGGAAATGTCACTCTGAAAACCACTACTTTATACGCGGAAAATTAATAGTAGTTACAGTTCAAGTGAAGACATTTTTGGTATGTGATTTGTATCAGAATAACAAAATTCTTTCAAAAACAAAAAACAAACAAACAAACAAACAAAACGAAACAAAAAAAAACCTGAGCAACTTGAGACAAGGTGTGAGTGGTTAAAGTGCCAGCAGCACCTACCTCAGGGAACGGTCTCTGGAAGTGGTCCCATTTCAGAAGCTTCAAGTAGGCATAATTCTGGACAGAAATAGGGGTCAGCAGTGGAGCATCCCCAGAGCCAGCAGCAGCTCCTCCAGCTGGCAGGGCATGTCTGTACTTCTGAGTCAACAAGTCATTTGAGGCCTCCTCCAGCCACTGGGTGACAAAGTCCAGGGAGTCTGGAAAGCAGGGCTACACTCATCACCCTGACATCTGCAGGGACACTTTTTAAAATTACCTTAATGAAGAGTGTTTCTACAACAAAACTCAGAGTAGAGAGTGAACTCTGGAACCCGCAGAACTGACTGCACATCACCATACTGCTCATCGCTAGCTTCGTGGCCTCAGACAAATCTGAACAAGAGACTCCTACTGTAAAGAAATGCGTGACACCTGCCTCAGCTGACAGAGCAAGGGCCTGGCCTTTCCATCCCTCCTTGCCTGCATCCTTCCTACATACTCTTTTCTCTAGTAGTGACCACATTCAATGTGGCTGGAAGCCCACGTTGACTTTGGCTCAATGGGATGGTAAAACTTCTGGCTCGCAGACAAACAGGACATGACACCAGCTGGAGTCCCTTTGTATAGCACAGCATTTACACTGAGGGCTTACATATTAGGTTTACACACAGCCTTGTTTCTGGGGTAACTCACCTCAGGGGGAGCATGTCAGTGGGGCCCTCAGATGTCTCTCAGTGGCCTCTATGCTCTCTCTGCTTTCCTAAGTTGAGTAATACACTGGTACCTATCAGAACACCAGTGTCCTCCACATTCTGAGTAAGTGCTTCTTGGGAGAGGTGCAGCCCTGGAGGAAGCCTCCTTCAAACCAAGCAGGAGCTGGGCTTACAGCTCCTGTCAGCTCCTCCCTGGTGCAAACGATGCAACTCTGTCCTCTTCACAAAGTTCTCACTTTGGTCCTGTCTGCTGATATACATGGGCTCATCCTGCCTTTAGCCTTCTAGAGACAGCCTTTCTCTGTGGCATTCAGGCTCTGGAAACCTTGAAATGGTGGACAAGTACTAGACTGTGATGACTCTAGGTAGGCTCCTATGCAGCAATGACTCTCCCATGGCAGCTGAGCTTCTGGCACCTGACTCTGCCATGCTCTTTAGCCTAGAAGACCATGGCCCCGGACAGACTGAAGTGTGTCAGCCAGTCTTCTCCCGCTACTTCTACTCTCCTCTCTTTCCATTCCTCCTGGCCCCTAACTTCCAAGATAAGGCTACAGGAATTAACGTCTGTAGCTACTGAGTTAACCAACCGGGTCAGGCAACAAGATCTATACAGGCTGCCATTTTCATCTCATCAGCAAAGCTGTGCTACATGAAATCCAACACACACTGCATCTGAAAGTATCCTATAAACAGAACTGTACTAGACTCAGTCAGTTGTTTACCTGAAGTCACATGAGGCTTGTAAAAAATGCCCTTTTCTGGGTTGGAGAGATGGCTCAGTGGTTAAGAGACTGCTCTTCCAGAGATCCTGAGTTCAATTCCCAGCAACTAACAGAGATTTGTCACCAAGGACAAAGAGCAAGACCTGAAATATAATTTAGCTGAAACTGATGTTTTCCTTGGGGAAAAATAGAAATTTAATCTAGTAATCTTCATTCTGTCCATTTTTACTCTCAAGTCCTGCCCACATAGCTCTTGCTTGTCGGCTGAGTTCATTTCTCGTTATTTTGTTTTTGATGCTTGACAGCATCCATGCTTCTCCTTCCTCAGAGCACACTCCTTCCACACATTCCTGCCTCGGGTTCCACACAGTCACTGGCTTTTATGTCATGGGTTACAAGACAGAAGCCAAACGATGAAAAACAGAGCTACTCACTCGGCTGCTTCTCCAACACTTCCTGAAACTTCTTCCTCTCATATTCGACTGACTGCTGCATGAGGTGTGGCCTGATGCTACTGATAGCAAAGTTGGCCATGTCCACTTTCATTAGGTCCAACACAGAAAATATTGCCCTGAAAAAAAAAGAGAAAAAAATGTAGAAGCAGGCAGTCATGACGTAAGCATAGTTTAAAGGAAAAGAGATATGTGTTTCATCTTAGAAGGGACAGCAAAAGCAATCTGGGAAACCATGAGAAAAATGGATTAAGAAAATGAATTTGGGGGCTGGTGAGATGGCTCAGCGGTTAAGAGCACTGACTGCTCTCCTAGAGGTCATGAGTTCAAATCCCAGCAACCACATGGTGGCTCACAACCATCTACAATGAGATCTGATACTCTCATATGGGTGTCTGAAGACAGCTACAGTGTACTTAACATATAATAAATAAATAAATAAAAATCTTTTAAAAAAAAGAAAAAGAAAAAAAAAAGAAAATGAATTTGGGGGACTGGAGAGATGGCTCAGTGGTTAACAGCACTTCCTGCTCTTTCAGAGTACCTGTGCTGGCTAGTTTTATGTCAACTTGACACAAGTTAGAGTCATCAGAAAAGAGGGAGCCTCAGTTGAGAAAATGCCTACATGAGATTGGGCAGTGGGCAAGTCTGTAGGGCACTTTCTTAGATAGTGATTGATGGGTGAGGTCCCAGACCACTGTGGAAAGTGCCATCCCTGGGCTGATGATAGTCTTGGGTTCTATACAAAAGTAGGCTTAAAAATAAAAATAAAAATAAAAATAAAAATAAAAAGCAGGCTAAGCAAAGCAACTCCTCCAGAGCCTCTGCATCAGCTCCTACCTCCAGGTCCTGGCCCTCGCTGCTTTGCATGATGAACTGTCATATGGAACTGTGAATAAAATAACCCTTTCCTTCTCAAGTTGCTTCTGGTCATAGTGTCTCACCACAGCAATAGGAACCCTAAGACAAACTGGTACTAGGATCCTGGAGTATCGCTGTGACAGACCTGACCATATTTGGGGAGAACTGTGGAAAGACTTTGGAACTTTGGGCTAGAAACACCATTGAGTGTTCAAAGCTCAGTGCACTTTTCTGTGGGAGCTTGGAAGCTGTTGAGAGCAATGCAGATGATGGAGGCCCGGCCTGTGACGTTCCAGAGGGAAGTTGGAGAGTTACTTAATGACACTATCAAGGCTGTTTGCTACTTTGAGTTGACAATCTGTGGTTCTGGTTAGCCAGGGGTGAAGAATCAGCTGTGATTAACAAGAGACCAGAAACACTGAAGTAAAACCTTTGCATTACTGGGACAATTGATGCTGGGTTGCTAGAGCTAAGAAATTTGTGGTGATTAAGAAATCAACATCACGAGTTTGAGGCCAGCCTGGTCTACAGAGTGAGTTCCAGGACAGCCAGGACTACACAGAGAAACCCTGTCTTGAAACCCCCCCCCCCAAAAAAAAAGAAAAAAAAAGAAAAGAAACCAACACCACTAAGGTGAAATCTTCTGGGAAATGTTTCAACAGAGTCAGTACACAGAAGCTGTGTTCTCCAGGTGACCAATATTGTCCCTCATACTAGCAGCTGAATTTGGTACTGTGAAGAGATGACAGGTTGAACTTGATCACGGCGTGAAGGGATCAAGGAAAGCAACTGAGGCTTGGGACTGGGAGGGGCCAGGAGAGGCCACTGGTGAAGGTAGAGCCAGAACAGCAGTAGAAGCCACAGGACTGAAGGAGACATAAGGAAAGCTGAGGTTGTGCATCATGAGAGCCCAGGAGAGGCTACTGGTCAATGTCCATCCCAGCTGCAGAGGACCCCAGCATTTTGGAGATGCCAATACCATGGAACAACCACCAAGAACAGCAGCAGCCATGGTAGAGTGGAGCCAGCCTGCACCTAGAAGACAAGCTCTGTGTATTGTATAGGGCAGATGGCTCAGGCCCTTTGGAGGAGCCCAAAATATCAGGAGCAAATCCCAAACACTAGACATTGAGAGATTTATACAGTTGCAGTTTGGTTTTGCTTTGATCTGTTTGTGACTATGCTGGCTCTTCCCTCTTGAAGTATTTAATTTAATTATGATTTTTATAACATCCAACAGTTGAGAGATTGAGTCTTTGAAAGAGATTTGGGGATTTTAGAGACTGAGCATTTTAAAGAGACTGAGGCATCAGCACTCCTATGCACATACTCAGACAGACAGACACACATACAACTAAAAACAAAAATCTTTTCTAAAAAGTACAACAAACTCTTAACTAATGGCTTGAAAGACTGCAAAATTTTAAGGTGTTTTTTTAAACATCCTAATCTTGACACTGCCTTTCCAGCCTAGAACTTGTTCCTTGGTTCTCAGGCCAGCCCTCCTGGCAGACTGAGGAAGGACAGAGATCTCGACCTGAGCTGGAGCGCCTTCATCTTCATGCTTACATAGGTTAATTCATTTTCTAAGCAAAGAATGAGGGGCTCATACATATAATCCAAGCACTATGAAGGCAGAAGGAGGATCTTTGGAAGTTCAAAACCAGCCTGGTCTACAGGTGGTATTCCAGAACAGCCAAAGGTACACAGAGAGACACTGTCTCAAACAAAACAAAACACAACTTAACTTTTCTCCTTTCTTCTTCCTGCTTATCCCAGTTTCGGTTTTAAGAATTATTTTATGCTCTAGTTCAGTGACATAATTGCTAGCTCATACTCTGTCCCCAAAGGACAAACCCCTGACCTGCTTCTGAGACTGCCTTCCATCCTGTCTGGCCTACACCATGACTATGGACTAAGTGTCCACCTGCAGGAGGCAGTTAAGAACCCGAGGTTCAGGTGTAGCTATGGCCCTGCACAAAAGCAGGGCTAGGATCAAATGTGCTCACAGGTCCATGGCCCTTTAGAACCACAGCCTTCGCACAGGGTCACGGGAGCCTGTCCCCCACTATTCTGTCCAGCTAACAGATCCTCAGAGGCATGCCATCTCTACTGCAAACACTCCCATCGGTTCTCTAAGACTACCCACAGGGAAGCTACCCATGGGCAGCTGCTGATTTAGAGTAACCCCAAACATGCTCACGGGGTGTTTTCAAAAGCCCGGATCTCTTATAAAAAGTCAACAGACTGAACGACGTAAATCATCACAGCCACAAGCAGCTGGAACTAAGAAGCACTTCTGTCTCTCTTGTTTGTTTTACTTATTCATTCAGTTCAGCCATACTCAAATGATTATTTTATATGCATTGGGATTTTGCCTACACGTATGTCTGTATGAGGGTGTCAGATCCCCTGAACTGGAGTACTGGAGTTATAGATAGTTGTGAACTGCCATGTGTTGCTGGGAATTGAACCTGGGTCCTCCAGCAGAGCAGCCCAACACTCTTAACCACCGAACCATCTCTCCAGCCCTCATTCATCTTTTTTTTTTTTGATTTTCCGAGACAAAGTTTTTCTCTGTGTAGCTCTGGCTGTCCTGGAACTCACTCTATAGACCAGGCTGGCCTTGAACTCAGAAATCCACCTGCCTCTGCTTCCCAAGTGCTGGGATTAAAGGCGGGCGCCACCACCGCCCGGCTTCTCATTAATTTTTAAAGACAGTATTTCACTATGTGCCCCAAACAGGATTTGAACTCAAGATCCTACCGTAGCCTCTTAGTGCTACAAAAACAGTGGCAGTTAGTGATAAAACTTCTACATTTCTGTGTTTTAGATGTTTGTTTCAGAAACACTTTTAAAATGACTGAGTTCCTAGGCTTCAGGAAATGTAAATCTGCAATTGGTTTTCAACTAGAAGTATTGTGATGGACACATTCCATACCTGAAAAGAGGCACTATTTCCTTAATGTCCTTTAGTTTTTTAACCTCCTCATCTCGAGCAGGTGCACACAATATCCCCATCATGCCAATAATGAATTCTGCCAGCTTGGAAATGTCTAGGGCCCCATTCTCCGCTTCTTGTTTTATCAGTTCCAGATCCAAGACTTCTGTTATCTGGTTTCTTAGTCTCGTGTGACCAGGCAGCAAGAAAGATAACAGAGTCTACAAGAGAGCATAGCTAAGTTTAATCAGATTCTCAGTCAGGAATCATTTTAATTATACATGAAGGATTTATTACTATTCAAAAAGGATCACCAACTGCTATTATAACGCCCATATTTCAGCCTCTTGTTTAACAAATCTACAAACATGCACATGAATCATTTAAAATAGCTATTTAAGCTTTGTTTGTATTCTAGCAATCTCCTGGATGCAAGAAGTTTATTGCTTGGTGCTTGTTCTTTGGGACAGGGTCTCGATGTGCTGTCCACAAGCTAGCTATCCAGCTTCCCAAGTGCTAGGATCCTGGTCAGCATTACCATGTTTGTCTAAAACTGATCAATGAGAAGCAAAGGAACGGTCAGTTGCTATGGAAGCCTGTGAGCCAACCACTGATTCTAACTTTCCCAGGTAACAATTCTTCAGTGTAAAGGTTAAAGTCACTGCAGAAAAGTCCTTGCATCTCCAGCCTTTTCTACCCCAAGGTGTAATTACTTTTTGGTTAATATAAGTTTAATGTTACTTACTAGAAATTTATAAATACTCTATTTCATGATGCAAGTTTTGTAGTCTCTAAGCAATACGAACGTTTTTTTTGTTGTTGTTGTTGTACAAAAGTAGAACCTTCTGGTTATCGTGGCTTGGTTGAAAAAAAAAAGACTTTAAAGGGCAGCAGTGGCTGAGTCAAGTACTCAATTCAAATTCCTTCAAATCATTTAACTTTGGGGCACTCCATTTCTTTAGTTTTCTATAACTATGTAACTGTTATTATATTCATAGTAACAATGAATATTCCTGGGGGCTGGAGAGATGGCTCAGCGGTTAAGAGAACTGACTGCTTTTCCAGAGGTCCTGAGTTCAAATCCCAGCAACCACATGGTGGCTCACAACCATCCGTAATGAGATTGGATGCCCTCTTCTGGTGTGTCTGAAGACAGCTACAATATATTCATAAATAAAATAAATAAATCTTAAAAAAAAAAAAAAGAATATTCCCTAGGCACCACTAATTCTTAGTCTTACCTCCTTGACCTCTCCTACAAGTTTGATGGCATGGTCATATGTTGGGGGGTCTTCACTTAGCTGGACACTCAAGCAATCCCAGAATGCTTTATGTACAATCTCCTTTACTCTCTTCTCCAAGCTAAAGACAACAGGAAAAATTAAAAAACAAATATTATATATGTCTGTGTTTAAAATCACTTTCAAAATCATAAATTCTATGGCTGTAAAGTAACAAATCTTTAAAACCATAGGAACCAAGGAAATGTGTAGCAGACATAAGCTGATGACACACTATTTTCTCTGCCTCTTTTTTTTTTTGTTTTGTTTTATTTTTTGTTTTTTTGAGACAGGGTTTCTCTGCATAGCCCTGGCTGTCCTGGAACTCAGTCTGTAGACCAGGCTGGCCTCGAACTCAGAAATCTGCCTGCCTCTGCCTCCCAACTGCTGGGATTAAAGGCATCCGCTACCACCGCCCAGCAACTCTGCCTCTTAAGAAAAGTGGCTTTCACCTCACTTAGTAGCCAACATGAATCCAGTGATTAGCACACCACAATGCCATAAAGAAAAGGCTGGAGTGCTGGAGCGATGCCTCAGCAGCAGATGTGGATTTACTTCTCAGCACCCACAAGGTGGCTCGCAATTATCCATAACTCTAGGTCCAGGAGATCCAACACTGTCTTCTGACCTGGTGGACACCACACATGCACATGATGTACATAAATACATGCAGAAAAAACACTCACACACAAATTTTAAATTTCTGAAAGGCTAGAGAATTCAGAGTAGGTAATTTTTCATTTCTCTGACTTCAGCAAGTTCCTATGATACACATATGTGAACACAGGTGCCTACAGAGCCAGAGGCAATGGATCTCTGTGGAAATGGAGTTACAGATGACTGTACACTGTCCAGCACAGGTGCCTGGAAGTGTACTCAAGCCCTCTTGCAGCAGCAGTGAGAACCCTTAACTACTGAGCCGTCCCTCCAGCCTTCATCGTTTGTCTCGTTCTCTTGGTTTTTGACACAGGGCTCACTGTAGCCTTGCTGGCTTCTAACCTATACAGAGTTGAGGATGGCCTTGAACTGATCCTCCTGCCTCTACTTCTCAAGTGTTGGGATTATGGACACGTGCCACCTCCCGTGGCTTCCCTGCCTTCACAAAGGATGGGAATTAGATGACAAGGGTAGGATGCCACAGTCAACAGAAGTGAACCAGTGCACTGACAACACTGAAAACAGAAAGTAGCGACTATGTCCTAATAGAGAAAAGCTGGCATCAAAGACCCCAGAGCCCTTACTTATCCTGAGGACACGTGGCTTTCAGACCCATGATCACAACAGTCACTCCAGACCAAGAAATATTTTAAACATTGATATACAAAAGAAAGAATGTAAACACACTGGCACCGAGTGAAAAGCCATTCCCAGAACTGGGAAATGCTCTAGAACACAAGTCCACACACGCACCTGCCTTCGGGTAATTCAACAGCATTAATCCGGAAGTCTCCATTTACCACAATTTCATGGGCTAGAGCCATGTTGGTGACTCCTTTTGCTGTTTCTAGAAGTTCCTCTACAGTGACAAGCCGAGGAGGACTTGCTGTAACAGAAAGCAGTGTAAGAAGTCTGTTAGGTTAAGGCCAGCGATGGCCGCTGCAGGGAGAACTCTACCCCAGCATTTCAAACAACAGACCTAGCTTTGTCTTAGTTGCCTTTCACCTAGAATCCTAAAAGTAACACGCATTTATATAACACACAAAACATGATTCCCACTAAGATTGCTCAATGGAAAATAAATAAAAAGTTAGCTTAATGAAGCATGCCTTCAATCCCAATACTCAGGAGGCAAAGGCAAGTAAATCTCTGTGAGTTCAAGGCTAGAGCTAGTTGCAGGACAGCCAAGGCTACGCAGAGAAATCCTCTCAGAAACAAGCAAAAAAGTACTAGCAGGAGGACAAAGAAGAGGAGGAAGAAGAGGAGGATGAGGAAGAAGAGGAGGAAGAAGAAGAAGAAGAGCAGGAAGAAGAAAAGGAGGAGGAAGAAGAGCAGGAGGAGGAGGAGTCACTGATTTACAATTCTGGAATTAGGAAACGTAGAGGCAGTAGAATCAGAAGTTCAAGGCCAGCCTGGGTTTTATATATAAGGTCTCACCTTAAAAACAGGTAACGAGGTGAGGGTGGGAGCAGTGTTTGGGATGTAAATAAATAAATAAAATTTAAAAGACAGATAAACAATGCCACTGTTTTGTACAGGGTTTAACAGATGAAAAGTTTCCAGGTGAAAAAAAAAATTACATTTCCTTCCAACTGTGTTTGCTTCCTTTGATCCTCACTGCCACTGAAAGGGGAATCAAATCTAACAGTGGGCCATATCCCGTTTAAAAAAAGAAATCATTTGTAGTTGTAGAAGTATTCATTCTCAAAAAAATGCTCAGCATTTTCAGAAAATACTAATGCAAAATAAAAATAAAATTAATGTCATTCATATTGGTAAGATATAACAAATATCTAAAATAAAACCTACGTAATATTTTTTTTCAATTCTTGATATAATAGAGATGTCAATTTCCTCTAAGTCAATATATTGACTTAAGTCAAGGTTTCTCTGTATAGCTTTGGTTGTCCTGAAACTTGCTTTGTAGACCAGGCTTTCCTTGAACTCACAGAGATCTGCCTGTCTCTATCTCCCAAGTGCCAGGATTAAAGGCATGTACCACCACTACTCAGTTTAACATTTCTAAATATATTCTAACCAAAATCCCAGCAGACTTTTTTGAAATTTCCCAATTGATTCTAAAATTTATATGGAAATGCAAAAGACCCAGAGAGCCAAGACTACTGTACAAAGGCAGCTAGAAGATCTATGGTGATTTCAAGACTTTCTGCAAGCTAATTATCAAGACTATAAGGTTTTACATATATAGACATATAGATTGACAAAGAATTCAGAAATAGACTCAAATACAAACACACATAGAGAGACTGACACACTCATGCGTCTATATATGTAGTCAGTGGGCAAGCACAGTATTTTTTTTTTCAAGCATAATATTTTAATAAAATATTTCTTTTCTGGTTTTCTGAGACAAGGTTTCTCTTTATAGCTTTGGTTGTCCTGAAACTTGCTTTGTAGACCAGGCTATCCTTGAACTCACAGAGATCTGCCTGTCTCTATCTCCTAAGTGCTGGGATTAAAGGCATGTACCACCACTACTCAGTTTAACATTTCTAAAACAAGACATGCATATACAAAACAACAACAGCCAGGTGGTGGTGGTCCAGGCCTTTAATCCCGGCACTCAGGTGGCAGAGGCAGGCAGATCTCTGAGATCAAAGGTCTACAGAATGAGTTCCAGGACAAGTAGGGGCACACAGAAAAACTCTCTCTCAAAAACAAACAAACATAAAGAACGACACTCAGCTGGTGTCATTGGTACATGACTTTAATCTCGGAACTTGGGAGATAGAGGCTGGCAAATCTCTGTAGATTAAAGGCCAGCCAGGTCTACAGAGTGAGTTTCAGGACTACTAAAGTTATACAGAGGGGGATGGGGTAAGGGGACAACATATGAAATGTAAATAAAACATCCAATTAAAAAAATAAATAAAATGTAAAAAAAAAGTTATACAGAGAAACCATGTTTTGGGGAGAGAAAGAGAAAGAGAGAGAGAGAGAGAGAATTTGCATGCTGATAAGATAGATATGCTTATTAAAATGTTTTATATAAGTAATTAACTCTTGGCTGAATAGTTGATACTGAAGTACATAATAGTATCTTCATTGTTTTTCAAAGATGAACAACATTGTGATTTTGTAACTGTCTATACCAAGAACATTGCTTTATATATCTATATGTAGTAAAAATGACAGAAACACATTTAGAGTCCTTTAAGAAATTGTTAGAAATTTTAACCTAATCCCAATCTAAATTTCAATTACTTTTCAGTGAAACTCAAACATCAACTGTTTCGAGACAGGGTTTCTCTGTGTGGCCCTGGTTGTCCTACAACTCTCTCTGTAGACCATGCTGACCTTGAACTCAAGAGATCCACTTGCCTCTGCCTCCTGAGTGATGGGATTAAAGGCATGTGCCACCATTGCTTGGTTCAAACATCAATTTAAAAAATAATTTTTAAAAGAATTGTGTGTGTGTAGATATATCTATATGCATTTGAGTGCTGGTATCCAAAGAGAAGAAAAAACATTGAATTTCCTGGAGCTGGAGTTATAAGCAGTTGTCAGTAACCCAACATAAGAGCTAGAAGTGAAACCTGGGTCTTTTTTAGCAGCTTCTGGCTCCTTGAAAACTTGAGAAAAATACTCTTGCCTTAGACATGACCACATACATTTTTAAATAACATAACCTAACACTAGCTTCACATAATTTAGAGCCATGCCAATATTGACAGAATGACAAAAAGCAAATCCCTAGTCCATCTTTACCAGAATAACTGAAAACATAAACCAAAAATCCTGCAGAAGAAAATAAAGAAACTGCAGTAAATAAAAACCATGTTAGCAGTCTCTGTTAGTTTTCTACTGCTCTCAGGAATACTGGAGATAAATCAACACAAGAGAAAAAGTTGTTGGGTGTGGTAGCTTACACCAGTCATCACAGCACTCAGAGGCTAAGGCAGTTAGACTACTGAGTTTGCATCAAACCTGCAAAGGCCAGCCTAGTCTATGGAGTGAGAACTTGGCTCAAAAAAAATAATAATTAATATATATATATATACACACATACATGCATACATACATACATACACACACACACACACATACAAGCCGGGAGCTGGGCATGGTAGTACAGGGCTGTTGTAACCAAGTACTTTGAAAATGGAGACATGATGAAGCTTCAAGTTCAAGGTTATCCTTAGGTACAGAGAGAATTTGAGGCCAGCCTGGGCTACATGAGGCTGGATCTCAAAAACCATTTGGAGTGGGAAGCTGGCTTACAGGTTTGGAATTTCTAGCCTCTGATCTACTGGACCCTTCCTTTTGGGTTTGTGGCTAGCTGCACATAATGGCAGGGTCCATATAACTGAAAAAGTTGCTCAGTTCAGCCAAGACAGAAAATGAGAATAAAGAAGTGGGTGGGGACCCCAATTCCCTCAAAGAGCAGTTTCCAATGACCCTCCCCTCCTCACAGTGCCGTAGCTGGATCCCAGCTCTTAACACACAGACCTATGGAGGACATTTCAGACTCAAACGACAGCATCCACACTACAAGCACTCAGTCCCTGTCAGGAGCCATCTAGGAAAGGTTAAAGGCATGCAAGTAAGTTTTCTGGGGCCGTCCTTTTGCATGGCTGCAATGGGTAAACACTGAATTGCAGGGTCTTCATCTAGATCTCTTCTCAGGATTGATTCCTGCTACTGATATACCTTTCCTATCATTATTACAGTCTAGTGATTCCTGGACATTAGCCCAACTTATTGGGCAGATTTTCTGCAGATCAATGAAGATATACTATTATGCAGTAATGCTGTGTAGACAAATTGATGATTTCATAATTCCTAATAATGACTCTATAGAATTCCTAGGTTTATAGAAGTACTTTTGAGCCCTCTATAGGATGAAAGCTGCAATTAGAATTCTGCAAAGCCTAAGAAAGCAGATTTGGAACAAATTTACGATCAGGGAAAACATTCCTTCTAGATTAGCTGTCGGATAAGTAAAGGTCATAAAATGGACAATTTATTGTAGATGCAAGGACAGAAAATAAAATATTGACTAATTTATCTATACAAAACTTCAAAACAAATGAGACACAAGGCAAATGATTTGCTTTTTGACAAAACCATGCTAACTTATGACATAAGAATTATTGTTTTAAACTTTTTATGAACTTACAGAGTTAGTAACAGATAATGTTTAGCCAAGTATTAGCCTTTTTTGTTGTTGTTGTTTTTGTTTTTTCGAGACAGGGATTCTCTGTGTACCCCTGGCTGTCCTGGAACTCACTCTGTAGACTAGGTTGGCCATGAATTCAGAAATCCACCTGCCTCTGCCTCCCAAGTGCTGGGACTAAAGGCATGCACCACCACTGCCTGGGCAAGTATTAGTCTTAATAGAAACACATGTAAATATTTCTGCTGAAACTCCTCATCAATTCATGACTTGAATTAGTGTCTTAAACTTGCTATAAACTTATGGAATGTAAAGATATTGGGAAACCGTGTAATCAAGTCTCCCAAGAAAGTATAAGAATTTAGAATGAGAATAAGGGAGAAGCTCTTTGATTCAGCAATAAAAAGGTTGGTTTTTTTTTTTTAAATAAAAGGTTTATTTTCTTTTTCTGAACAATAAAAGTTGGAGCTTTTTTTTCATCCAGAATAAATGAGTTTTTCCTATGTTGGCACCTGCTTATTTGAACTTGCTCATGGGAGCTCTTGCTCCATCCACCAAATGTATACAGGCATGAGTAGGTATAGGTAAGTGTTTGTAGTATGCATTAACACGTGTGGAGTTGGTAAAACAGGTGGTCAGGCCTGACCTGAGTGTGTGTGTGTGTGTGTGTCTGTGTGTGTGTGTGTGTGTAAGTGCATATTGCCTGTGTATAAGATTTTAATTTCCTTCCTTCTCTCTGGTTCACAAAGAGTTACTCAGTTCCAATCCTTTAGCCTGGCCAGTGAGAGGTCCTTAAGCAAAAAAGAAAGGAAACCAGCGCTTATTAAAGCACAACAGTAAAATTACAAGGCCAAGGATCGTCAGGCTTTAGCCTTCACCCAGCTCCATTCCACCTAAGCTCACTCCCAGCCAGAGCAGGCCTTTGGCAAGTCAAACCATTATACCATACAGCCGATGATGTAATACTAGTAGTAGAGACAGCCACCGATGTCTATGGAAGACTTACTGCTTCTAAGCACTGTTCTCAATGCTTTACATGAATTCCTTTCATAGTCACAACTACTCTAGGAGGTAGAATGCCTCATTTAACATGATGGGAAATCATCTCCCATCTCCCTAACTACACACACTAGAGACAGTAAGTCATAGATGCACACCAATCAGGTAATATTACTACAGCGGGCTTCCCTGGGAACTATTCGTGCCAGCTTATCAGTCCATGTGACCATGAACTAATAGGTACATTTGTATATATGTGCTATAAGAACACTATGTTGACTGAGAAATTATTTAGGAATGGCTTTGACTATTTTAGAAACACACCCCAAAACCTCAAAATATTTGTCCTTCTTCCCAATCTGCAGAACAACTATTCATTTTCAGTTTGATAACATCAACACAGACATTCTTAGACTGTGACACTCCCTTCTAGAGACCTGCATTTTTGGATTCACTTCAAAAAGTTTACTTGTTCTTAATAAAAGACATAAGGCAATTCATGGCAGAGCTTGCCGCCTTTCCTCCACTCTCACTCAGCAACTGAATCCCCTCTGCCCGTGGGAACCAAGGCCTGGGGAAATGGGTTTAAGGTGTGGGAAACTCACTCATTTTTCTCTTAACCTCCAAAGCATAGATAGTCCTGGCTCAAAGGAGTCTCAGACTTTTCATTGTTAAAGATAGTTTCCCTCTATCCTCCTGTTTCTTAGACTACTTCAGACAAAGTGGAATGCCTCTGAGGCCAGAGAGCCTCACTGTTCTAAAATTTTAACTTCTCATACAATTGTAAACCTACCAGCAACTAGGCTGACAGTTGGGAAACTCCTGCTATTGTCAATTCTAAGTATTGGCAATCTTGTCTGACTACAAGAACTTAGTTAAGAGCCACAGGCACAAGGAAGCCACATTTGAAAGCAACAATGGTAGTGCTTTTAATCAAAGTCAGATTTGCTTACAGTGAGGTCTTCCCACTCTTTGGGGACTAGGTGAGTCCGACGTCACTTTTTTCTGTAAGGTTTCATCAGAACACCCCAGAGCACCTTCCCGGGCTTGCTCAGAAGCAGCCAACTTTGACTCTCCTGCTTCGTCTACATGGGACTTGTCAAGGTTTTCAGACATCCTCAGTTAAGTCTGTTTACTTTCCTAGGAAAGAAAGACAATGAGCCAAACATGTTCATCCAGTGTCACTGACTTAGCAAACAGACTTGCTAAGGTTTAATTCACTTTTAGTCTTCCTCAGTGATTGAACACACTTAGCCAAACACATCTGTAAGTCATGAACATAGCTGGAATAACGTGTTCCACTCCTGAGTACATGTCACAAGTTGGGTGCTTAAACTGAAAAAGGACTTAAACCACCTACTTCTGCTTTAATCAAAAGGAGTGGTGACTCAATCTTAAATCTTTATTTAAAGACAGTACTCCACTACACAGCCCCTACTGTCCTTTAGTTCTCTATGCTCTGGCCTTGAACTCACAACTGTTCTGCCTCCAATTCATAAACACTGGACCTACATAAATGCTCCACCCACCCATCTTTACTTCTGTGGCCAAGAGCTTATAGGAAAACTTACTGGAAAGCTGGGCCTGGTCAAACTCTTGTAATCCCAGCACTTGGCAGGTGAAGGAAGGAACAGCTTAAGGCCTGGGGTCACTAATTAAAAACAAACAACTCAACATTTTGGAAACCATGCTTCTAACCACCTTCCAATGCTGTACTGAGATGGATGGATTCCTAGTCCTATCGTGTGGATAAAAGTAACTGGGAGGGGAGATTGGGGAGATGACTCAGGAGGCAAAGTCCTTGCTATATAAAAGCGTGAGGACCCGAGTTCAGATCCTAGTATCCACTGAAAATCCAGGTGCCACATCATGCCTGTAAGATGCTCAAAGCCAGTCTCTGGCTTCCACGCCTATGCACGGTGAGCACAGACACAATCCTTCCCCTAGATTTAAAATAATAATAATGGAGAGACAGGCAAATCTCTGAGGTTGAGGTGAGTCTGGTCTACATAGTGCGCTCCAGAACAACCAAAAATAATCTATCAACAACTAGGGATGAGAAACAGCCTATAGACTGTCTGTCTAGACTATAAAGTGTTTAAGAGAAACATGTGAGGCACACATTTTAAGCTGCTGCTAATCACCATGAAAAGAACACCAGCAGAGTAGGAAGCTGCACTCACAACGACATAACCAGGTTTTCATTTCATCGGTGGCTGATAAGAACTTAAATACTATCTGACACTCTTAAGTCTCCACCAGTTAACAAAGCCTTTTTTTTTTTTCGAGGCAGGGTTTCTCTTATAGCCCTGGCTGTCCTAGAACTCACTCTGTAGACCAGGCTGGCCTGGAACTCAGAAATCTGCTGCCTCTGCTTCCCAAATGCTGGGATTAAAGGCGTCACCACTGCCCGGCTAAAGACATTTTTTTTTAAGTTTTTTTTTTTTTTTTTAATTGTAGTGTGATTTATCTCATGGGCCTAGCCCTTTAAAGGATCCCCACTTGCTAGCCAACTGGCCCTTTAAGAAGTCTTAGATGCTCGAAGAACTGCTTGACCTTATGACCTTCAGTGTTGGTTGCCTCTTGAATTTCTGGGACCAGGATGGGATATAAAAAAGCCAGCTGAGGCTGAGAAAGTTGGTTAGGCTGGCAGAGTAGAAATGGCACAACTCATGTGTGCCTGGTGCCCAAGTTGGTCAGAAGAGGGCACCAGATCCCCTAAAACTACATTTACAGATGAAAAAAACGTGGGTGCTGAGAATCAAACCTTCGACCTCTGTTCAATTTATGTCTAAGAGGTTTTTCTGTTTTGTTTTTTTGTTTGTTTGTTTGTTTTGTTTTGTTTTTTCGAGACAGGGTTTCTCTGTATAGTCCTGGCTGTCCTGGAACTCACTCTGTAGACCAGGCTGGCCTCGAACTCAGAGAAATCCGCCTGTCTCTGCCTCCCAAGTGCTGGGATTAAAGGCATGTGCCACCACCACCCGGCGGTTTTCCTGTTTTTTAAATTGGACAGAAAAGGTGAAATGTAGGGGTAGTTCTGATGCTTTGATCTGGAATCTGCACATGAATGTTGAAGGTCCTATTCCCCAATTGGTTCTTGATTGATCAATAAAAGATGCTAGCGGCCAATGGCTGGGAGAAGAGAGGGGGACCTCCAGTTTCCCACAGGCAGGCTAGGAGACACAAGGTAAGAGAGAAAGCTATCTCCCATGTGAGATCTCGGGTGGAATGGCCATTGGCAGTTTCCCTGACTGGGTCTTGGGTAGCAGGTAGGAAATTAGAAATGCAACTAAGCTGAGGGCAGATTTAGGGTGCTGAGCAAGGAGAACATAACCTGGCAACTAAGTTAAGGGCAGCTCTAGATGTGCTAGGAGTGAAGGTCAGGGCATGTTAGCTGTAGGAGGCTTGGAAGTGCCCAACCACTGAGCTAAAAAGCACAGTAAAAATAAGCTTGTGTGTGTGTCCGTGTGCGTGTGCCTGTGTGACTGACTGTCCTTCATCCATGGATCCAAGGGAACCAGGGCAGTGGCTTTTAGCAAGGTCCACCTGGAGCTTACAGCAAGGTAGTAGAAACTACAAACTACACTAGTCAGTTCTCTAATTGCTGAACCAGTTCTCCAGCCTGGTATTTATTTTATGTGTATGAGTATCTACCTGCACATATGTAGACTGTGTGTACAGTGCCCTCAAAGGCCAGAAGAGGGCAGCAGACACCCCAGAACTGGCCTTACCAGGTTACCAGGTGGTTGTGAGGGTGTTGGGAACCGAACGTGGGTGCTCTTCAACAACAGCCAGTGCTCTTAACTGTTGAGCCATCTCTTCATCCCCATAAAAGAAATCTTTTAATTACATTAAAGTTTTTAAGTCCTGCCCACCCTTCTCTGTTTTTAGGATATTTCCAGTTAAGATGATGCTTCAGCATTTAAAACACTGATAAAATAACACTTTGAGGATCACAAACTATTGTCAGAAACACTATGGTAATTCAGCTCATTACACACTTGGATGGTAGTCAAAGAATCTAAAGAAATATACTATGTTTGAAAGAGATTTGGCCCACTTCTGCATATTGAAGAGAGAAGAATCACTTGGTATAATTATCTAAAATCGTAAGAGACCGCAATTAAAAAAAAAAAAAACAGAATAAAGTTACTGGAATTGAAATTTGCAGGCCTGTTGTGACGGTCAGTCTCAATGGTCAACTTGGTGATTATATAACCTGAACTGTCCAGCTCAGGCTGGCTCAGCTCATGGGTATGCTGTGAGTGATTTTCTTGATTATGTTCATTGAGGTGGGAAGCCTCTCCCCACACTTGGGCAGCACCATTTCCTGAGCTGGGCTCTGGTCTAACAAAAGTCCCTTAGAAAGGACCTGTGCACCAGCATCTGGTGCTGTTTTTTGACCATGAATGTAACATGGCCTGCTGCCTTGTGCTCCTGCTGGACTGTGGGCAAACATAACCCCTCACATGCTTAAGAACCTTTCGTCTTCCTTCCTTCCTTTCTCTCTCTCTCTCTCTCTCTCTCTCTCTCTCTCTCTCTCTCTCTCTTTCTTTTTTAAAACAAGATCTCACAACCCTGGCTACATCCTCCTGCCTCTGCCTCTCAAGGGCTGGGATTAAGGGAGTACCCATCATGCCCAGCTGCATTTTACCTTCCTAATCCAGGCCCCTACCCTATCCCTTTTTGGGGAGACAGGTTCCCTTTATGTACTTTCTAGCAAGCCTAGGACTCACGATATGGCCCTGAACTCATAGAGAGCTGCCTGCTCTAGCCTCCTGGGGCTTTCCCCCAGAAAGCCATGTGCCACTACACCAGGCCCAACTTTCCCTTCCAAAACCCATTTCTTCATTGTCCTAAATCCTATTAGAGTTTGGAAGTGCAACAGATCCATCATTCAACATTACCTACAGATTCTATAAGAAACAAAACATCTAATTTTATCCTCTTCACACACCAGGGAGCTGCCCAGAGCAGTGTATCATTCACTGGATACAGAAAGGAAGAAAGGCAAGTCAAGATCCCTTTAAGCACAACAGACTGTACCCCCCAAGATTCTGTTCAGGTTCTGTTTCCTCCCAGAGCACTTTCTTCAACCTTATTAATGTTTATACTTTTCTCCAAAGTCCTGCAGGGCTGATTGTGAGACAGCTGGTGTCCATCACTGCCTTTAATTCCAGTCAAAATATGATTATTTCAATCAGGATAGAAAGCTGGACACAATCTAATCAGAGACAGACAGACATGCTTGCATGGAGCCACATGAAACCCAGAGTAGCATGACGCTGCTATTCTGAATAGGAGGAAGCCGAGAAAACTTTCCCAGAAAAGAGGACATGTGACCTGTCTTTGAAAGGAGTAGAATTTCACCAAGTTATAAGGTGGGGGTGGGAGTGAAAAGGGGGGTTGTGTTTTCATTCCTTCCGGCAGAAGCCAAAGCACCTGAAATGGAAAAAGTGGTAGTAAGCAAAGATGGAAAGAGGAATTGGGGGTCTGGTGGGGAAAGTGCTAATTTGTACTTTAAAAACAAAATGAAAAGCTTTGTCTAGATTTTGAACTTAAGAGTCAAGACCAATCATATTCTCCATAAATGCTCTATTATAACCCCACTACCCCCAAGCCCGGCGTACAGACACCCATTTGTTGATAAGACATAAATCCCTGTGTCATCTGTGTGATGTCACTGCGTTAGGAGGAGTTGTTCAAGGTGTTTAGGGTAGCGCTGGACCTGTGGTTTAAAACTGACAATAACTTCAGTTAAAAGTGATCCATTTTTCTTAAAATGTCCAATTCCCCGTTACTACTTAAGTCTGATCCTGTGTCTTTACTGTGACTTCAGTTTTCTACAGTTAAGTGCCTCCTCATTTAAAGCATAAGGGTACACTGCGGCCACAGGCTGGCACACAACAATCATTCCACACTGGCAGCTATAATTATAGAGTTGAAGGATGCATCCGGGGGCTATTTAATTACTCTCATTCATTCACTCAACAATCATAAAACCCTACGGTACCCAACCAGGAAACCGAGGGGGAGGAGGATCCTTGCACGGGGACCCGCATCTGTCGGACCTGCACGCGGGACCAAGCTGAACACAAAAGATTCCTCCAGAAAAGGTCTTTCAAGGAAAGAAAGATCTC